GTTGTCTTAAAAAGGTAAAAAAAAAAAAAAAAACAATATGCCAAAAGATTGAGTCTCGAATTCTCCCAATATGTGCTATTCTAATTGCATCCACCTTTTTTGTATTTCATATTATGGCTCTTTCTACATTTAAATGTTTGATATAAATTCTGTTATTTATTTTACTTTGTATTTTTCAATTGTAATTAATCATCTGTTCATGTACACTTTTGCCATCCTCTCTGAGAGTATTTATTCATGTAAATGTCAATGGCTTAATAAAAAAAAAAATCAAGTTTTCCTATATATGTGCTTTAAATTGTAAAAATCTTTAATTCTGCATTAAATAGACCATAATCGCCTATAGATTGCTGTAAAATGGTTTATACAGTATGGAAGCACATTTTGGATTTAATGTGTCATATACACATAAAGGTCATTTATACATTTAGAGATCAGAAAACGGACAAAATGTGTCAGAATTTTTAAACAGAACTGTTTAAACTGTTATTTCGATACAATCTGGTATTTCATGATTTAATGATGTGTTGTATTTTTATGCACATTTTTTTAAGTTCATTTAAGTCCTATTCTTACTTTATCAAATAGCAAATTATGATTTGATGCAAATTGTCAAAAATGACTTTATATTGTTGAAGTTTTAAAACTAAGACGGCAGCTTTCAGGGATCAGAGTGACTGGTTTCTTCAATGGTTCCTAAGAAATGCAGAATCTCAGTTTAATCTTTGCTTCCTTCGGTTTTTTCAGACAAGGTGAAGTCTTCATGGTTGATCCTCATCTTCATCAGAAGTTAACCAACAATCTGCTGGTGTTTTCAGAGCATTGTCCCCAAACAAATCAGATTTTTTCATTTGAATTCAAAACCATTTTCTTAAAACAAGAGTCGATTGTCTGTTCAACCAATTGATGCGATTTTCAGTTCCAGCAGGTCTGACTTGTGATGTCCGACCATCCATCATGGCGTCATGTTTAAAAAAAACAACAACACTGACACAAGAAAACTCCAGACTCATTTCCATCTTTATAAAAAATAATTTAATAACATTTAATATGTAGAAAACAACACTGGCAGAACAAAAGTCTTTTTAGTTGTTACGACAACAGATTGCACATGAGCAGTCCGGCTGAGTTCTGCGGCTTCCCGTGGCGACTCGGTTTCCGTGGCAGTCTCTTACATATCAGCCAATCAGAAAACACTACAGCGGCAGGCGGCCGTCTTCACACTGATACCGGTTCAACAGCCTGAACACTTGTCTTTGATCAGTTTTACCAAAATAAAAGTCCACACACATAGAAAACAAAAAATAAAAGTGGGGGGGAGGGGGGGTGCGGCTGCCCCACCGCTTCTTAAGTGAGTGAAATAAAAAAAAGGGGAGGG